TATCCGTCAAATGTCATGTTAACCTGAGTTATTTTTAATCCTATTAAAATAAATAGTCTCTCTTTGAGAATTTCCGATCTCTTTAGTTCACCCACACATTATCCTTGATAGACTTCTACCATTGGCACATATCGCTACATGTCTTCAGCTCTATACGGATGTAAGATTTTCAAGTGTCTTCTATGTTTCTTTGGCACTGTCTAAAATATATTTTAACTTATAAATCATGTAAATATTTAAAGTTTCTGATGGCCACCTAGTGGGCTTCAGTTGCTTTAACATATGCACCTCAGAAGTCTTCTCAAGTATGATTTATTAACATATAAATGCACATGTATAAACGTATGAAAATTTTGGTAAATTGAATTTTTAGTTGTTTTTATGACTAACTTGTGCATCATAAAAGTCTTAACTTAATTTAGGGTGATAACTTTCATCCAACAAAATAATGTGTTCGTAATGTTTTGTCTTATTGTGCGAATTTTCGGAAAATAATAATGAAAAATACCGTGATTAGAAAACATTCTCTCACACGGCAAGCTCTGTAACACAAGCATGATGTTTCTTAAAAACTGATATTTTGCCATTCAGAAAGATTTAATTGGAATTTTCTTTGTTTTACACTAGTTACATTTTCCAGTAACAATACGCAGTTCTACGGTTTAGTTGACTTGGTCTAACACACGTTTTAATAACTAACAAGCTACAACTGAGTTTTTAGTATACAGCTCTTGTTTTCACGCGAATGAAAAACCTGTATCCTTAATTACAGATACAATAATAGCGATTCTTTCTGCTAAGTTTTCTTTCACTATTTTACAAGACCGGCAATGAAGGTAAGATAAAAGAGCAAAGTAGAAAACAAAAAGTGACAACATAAAGATAAGAGTGATAAAACAAAGAATTAGTAGTAGAATTAACAGAGGACAGAAGAAAACACAAGAAAGGAATACGGACTAGAAAGAAGGTCAGAAAGATATACTAATAGTTAAGAAGAGAGAAAAGAAAAAGTAAAGTTATAATAAGAAGGGGGTTAAAGGTCGAAGTGCACAAATATTAGGAAAACAGTAAGCGATAAGAAGGAAATTGGAAAAAGAATATAGGAAGTCGAAGGAATTTGAGTGGCATGAAAGAGATAAAAGGAAATGCATGCAGGAAGAAAGTAGTGACGAATATAATAGCATAAAAATGATGAGGAAGGAAGGGAAGAACGAAGAAGTGGTATAACATGAAGAAACAGTGGCAACTGAAGAACAGGTGAAGAATAAGCAAAGAATGCGATAGATAATGAAAAGTTTAAAAAAGTAAAATACAGGTAAAAATAAAAGAAATAATAGAAGAAATGAGAGAAACAGGAAGTAAAAATGAAGAAATGTAAAAATAATAAAGGAGAAAGAGAAAAGAATGATGAAGCAAAAAGATGAAAGAGGGGCGACAACTGACGTATGAAGAGGGAATAATTAAAGAAATAATGAAGTAGATATAAGAAAAGTATAAGAAATGGGACAGGCTAAATGAATGAGATGGACAAATAATGACGGGTAAAACAGGGAGAGAATGACGAAGGTAAATAGAAAGGTGGGAAAGAATGAAAACGGAGATTAGTAGACAGAATAATTTAGCAATGTTGTGTAAATTAAAAAAAGATAAACAGAAAAAAGTTTGAAAGGATAGACTGACAAGTTAAGCTAGAGAGATAACAGAATATGAAAAATTGTGTTAAAGAAAGTAAATAAAACTAAAAGATGAAACAGAAAAGAAAAATTTCAATAATATTTAGAATAAAAAAAAAACAATTGGCAGTAAACGCGTTCTTTTAAGAACACCAATAGTAAGATACAAAAAGGACGGTCTATTGTTTACAACAACAAAGACATTTCAGTAACGGATCTTAACTTTCAATAACACTGATGAGCATAATCAGCAAAAGACGGAGCCCACCTGCCGGCATTTATCAAGTAGGCTCCGTAGTCTACTCTCAAATAAGCTCGCTTTGCTGTGTAGCATAAGTTTTGTGGCAGACATCCATCAATCTTTCCCCCTTTACACGTATACTTCTGCCGACGTATTCCACTGAAGCCCCTAGAAACTAAAGCTTTGGCTTTCTTTATAGACGATTTGCAGAAAACTTACTGTATGGAGTTAGAACACCAAAAACAAAAACAAAACAACTACAAACACCATGTTCAGTAAAGTGTAAAGCACTCAAATAAAGACAGTGAATTAAGACTAAGCTATCAGAGTCAGGAATTATTCTAGTCAGTATACTAGTATACATTTCTTTATCTTATGAAGTAGGTAAGATCTTTTAACTTTACAGTGATGTCTAATCTGATATTAAACTATCCAAACAGATATATATATATATAGTATACTTAAAAACCTGTCGTGTTTCTATATCATCCTTCACTTTACGTTAGAGGCTGGGTGCCAATCATATTGAATATTTAAAATCACAGCGCAACAGCAGTATTTAGAGGGATCGCTCAATACTCTTGATGTCAATAAGAATGTGAACAAATTATATCATGTAAATTAATAATGGTCTTCAAAAGGGCAGTATGTAAGTAATAGTAATCCACCGCCCTGAAGGAAAGACATTCAAAGATTTTTCATGTTTCAAAAACAGTTCTGCGAATATATATATATAGATATACTAGCGGACCCTAGAGTCTAAGGCCCACATTTACAGGGTCTCTATAATGCAAATTTAATTTCTTCAACCAAGTTAGGTCTATTTATTTACGTGCTATAATGTAAATGAATGCCATATTTGGGGTCTGTTTTCAGGGAACACCCGTAAAAGTGTTTTCGCTAAATAACCTGGTTCCCTAAGGGGTTGTATGAAAAATTTTACCTTTGTGCAAACTTCCTAGCAATTTAGGAGAAGGAGTTTTCGGTAAATTTCCAAGTTCTCCAAGGGGTGGGGTGAAAATTTTTACCTTTGTACAAACCCTGGGACCACGACGGATCGTTTAATACCAATTAAAAGTCGGTGCAACCAGGGGTTTAGGAACACACAAAACTGAAAATATATATAAAACGGATATCTTATCTTCCACGTTGTTTTATATTTGTTAAAAAAACAAGCTTTCTGACACAACTTTAACAACAGTTTTTAAGTGTTTAAATCTAGGGAAAAAAGCTTACAGCAGAAACCGGTACAAAATAGTTTTTGTAGCCTAAATAAAATGAACGCTTAGCTATACGTTATTCTGCAGATTTGTAGCAATCGTTAACAATGTCTGACAAATGGTGCTGCTTAAAATATAATGCTTATAAGATACAATTATGACGCGCTTTATAGTTGGTACATTAACGTCATCTCCACAGTATCGTGATCAGACAATGCACACTACACAAAACAAGTAAAGATTAATCGTAACTTGTGATAACGTAGATACGACAAAGTGAAAACAATATATGATAAACGTTTACATGGTAGAATTAGTGTAACAGTATACAAATATATATCACAAGTAATAAAAAAAATAGAAAAAATAAGGATGATGTAGGGACGGCAATGCCAAAAAGTACAGAGACAATGTAGGGATGAATACATAAAACCATACAAAAATCTATACACAAGTAGCCAGTGAGTCAGTGTTACAAGTTTATGGGAATTAGCCATTATAAGACTTCATAGCATTATTATTCAGTTTAAATGCTTTTATTCAAATATGAATTGATGCAAATGAAAGGAATTCAACATTTAGTTGTAGATATAAGTAGAAAGTAGCAGCATACAACCATATATGACAAACAATTTACATAATACTGCTGAAAGTAACAGAATACAACCACATATGACAAACAATTTACATAACACGGCTGAAAGTAATAGTATACAAACATATATCACAAACAATTTACATAAAAGAGATAAAAGTAACAGTATACAACCATATATCACAAACAATTTACATAAAAGAGATAAAGGTAACAGTATACAACTATATATCACAAACAATTTACATAAAAGAGATAAAAGTAACAGTATACAACCATATATCACAAACAATTTACATAAAAAAGATAAAGGTAACAGTATACAACCATATATCACAAACAATTTACATAAAAGAGACAAAAGTAACAGTATACAACCACATGTCACATATTAGTGCTGAAAGTAATAGTAAACAACCATATAGCACAAAAAGTTTACATAATAGTGTTGAAAGTAACTGTATACAACCAAATAGTACAACCAATTTACATAAAAGTGCTGAAAGTAAGAGTATACAGCTATCTAGCACAAACAGTTTATACAGTAGTGCTAAAAATAACAGTATACAACAATATATCATAAACAGTTTACATAATAATACTAAAAGTAAGAGTATACAACCATATACCACAAACAGTTGATATATACTTACTATAGTAATATTAGAAATAAGAGTATAAAACATACAGTACAGATAGTTTACATAATAGTGCTGAAAGTGACAGCATACAACAATATATCACAAACAGTTTACCCGCGAATAGCTGATGTTTATGATTCTCCGCCTATCCCAATAACATATTTATAATAAAACCAAGCATTTGAGCAGCATATTAAAGAACTTTACTGGAACTAACCACAGCATTTTATCACAACCGTACAATAAGTGCCAGTATTTTAAGTACATTAACTGAATATAGAACTTGACAATGCATAACAACTGAACATATTGTCGAAATAAAATATCTATAACAAGAATAACATAGTATCTCTTATGAAAACCTTAAAATGTATTATAATTGAACTCATATTTGTAATACTTTTTAGAGCTGACTACTTCAATAACATGTTTACGGAAACTTAGAAGTAAACTTATTCTTCTGTTACTTCTGTAAGTAAAAATCGAATACGAGTAACTTCACAAGTAAACCATCCCTGAAGAGTTCCTCTTCCCAAATTGAATAACATACCTATATTAGTAATGGAAGCAAGTGGATACGACTTTATAATAAGTACAACTGAATATAATCATATAAAACATGCGACTTACCAATAGTAGTGATTACAATGATTGAATACAACAAGGCACCAGAAAATGACCATTGAAGAGAAGAGTCATCTTTACCGTCGTAACCCTCTTTTCTGACCGCTTGGACAATGGTTACTTCAAAGTTTCTAAGGGTTGCTGCTGCCAGTTGTGTCCAGTTCGCCTGGTGCAACACGCTGCTTTTGGCAGTAATGTCCCATAAGGCTTCGACAATCGCTGTCCGTTCGTTCTGCATTTCTTCACGTTTGGCACGTTCGTTATAGGCTTCCAGAGCTTCAAAGGTAAATGCCCCCACGATGGTATAGCCCACAACAAGCCCGCACAGGCCTATATGGGAAAAAAGAAAGGTGGTGCCTGCACGACAATAATAGCGACACTTAGCGCAGCGTGACCTCTCTTCCCGCATCCTCACTCTCGGCTGTTTGACGTTAGATACTTCTGCATCTAAAATGTTTGGCACTAAAGACGCAGTGGGTGTCGTAAAGTTCTGAGCTAAGCCTTATATAAATACATATAAACTTCTAGTAATGTAGTTGTCAGGTGTAGATAGCATAATCATATGTTGTCGGCTTATTAATTGTACTATAAACCTTCTCAGGACTGGCAGTAGCAGAAAAGATAGAAATATAAACTCCAATCTCCTGGCTTCAGTTTCTAATGGATAAATCAAGTGGTAAAACTACGGATCGTGATTAAAGGTGTCTCCTAGCTTGGCTTAATTTAATTAAACTACTTGAGGACGTCGGAAAAACTCAATGAGCATGCTGTAACAAACCAAGCTCCCCACGAGCGCCTGCGCCAACCTCACCCTTACTTTAAGTATAAATAAAGAGAAGTATGAGGTCTAATCTTACTAGAATGTATAAGCATGCGAACGTCATCACGTGCTACTCTCATAATGAAGTTATGAATAGCGCACGTTACGTGGTTTAATTAGGATTAAGGCCGTGAAAGATTTTTCGCGGTATAATACAGCAAGAATGGTCGTCGAAGTCACGACAGTACCTTCCTTCCGGTTGTTATAGAATTTATTCGATTTTGTTGATGTTACTCGTAACAAACTTCCGCTATCGCATGATGCTGCCGTCACGTCAGTAAACGCTACTTGTGATTTACGGGGTAGAAAATAAAATCTATTGATGATGGCGTCTATATGTGTGCATAAAAAGTATGACCTGGAAAAGTGTATTTTAATGATCACAAATATCAGGTATGAATGTTATTAAGTCACTCTTAGGGTGTAATTACTAATATATATATTCATATAAATATAATAGTACTGTCTGTTGTCTGTCCATGGAACTACGCAGGGTGTGGATGGATCTTCACCAAAATTGGTATGGAGGTTCATTAGGTCCACTTGGGGGTACAAATTCTCAGTTTTACATTTTGTATGTTGCGGCTTTTATAGGCTTTTTTTACCACTACTTCGCCCCCTGTAGATGGATCGTCACCAAATTTGGTATTGATGTTTATTGGGTCCATGGGGAGATACTTAAAAATCTTCAGTTTTGCATTTTGCGGTTTTTATGGGCGTTTTTTACAATTACTTATAAGGGAAGCAATTTTTCATGTCCTAAGATAACCTTTCATTAATCGCAAATTTACATAACTTCCGTCCAGGGGACGGATACTCCATCTAATATATATATATTTAGTAAAAACTCAAATTGAAACCTATGATATTTTCTCAATCTCTGGTTTTGAGCTTCAGTAGCCACTATTCTGTAAGTTTTTGTTCTTCAATGATAAAACTTAGTTTAACACACGTGTGATATTTGAATATGTGCTAAATGATCTTAACCTCTTAACACGCATGCTTTCGAAACCTTCTTTCTATCTATCTGCCATAGCAATAAAAAGCTAATGGTATTGGTTTAAAAAGAAAAAGGCCCGGCATGGCCACGTGGTTAAGGCGCTTGGCTCGAAATCTGTGGGTCGCGGGTTCGAATCCCCGTCACACCAATCAATGCTCGTCCTTTCAGCTGTGGGGGCGTTATAATGTGACGGTCAATCCCACTAGTCGTTGGTAAAAGAGTAGCCTAAGAGTTGGCGGTGGGTGGTGATGACTAGCTGCCTTCCCTCTAGTCTTACACTGCTAAATTAGGGACGGCTAGCGCAGATAGCCCTCGTGTAACTTTGCGCGAAATTTGAAACAAACAATAAAAGAAAAAATTTAGCATACTCCTCTAACGTTTTCAAACAGAAGCGCCATACACTTGATTTAATAGTTAAAGTGTGCTATGGGACCTGTAGTGCTTTCAAATGGTGTTTCAACACACTTGTCTATCTTAGATGATTTTGTGTTTGTTTGTTTGTAATTAAGCACAAAGCTACACAATGGGCTATCTGTGCTCTGCCCACCACGGGTATCGAAACTCGGATTCTAGCGTTGTAAGTCCACAGACATACCACTGTGCCACTGTGGTGATTTTGTGAGCTCTGATATAGAAAGTAAATTTTATGGAAAAAGCGGAAGAAGGCAAAAAAGACGACGATATGAAGAAAAAAAGTTTTGCGGTTAAAACTCTTCCTCGACCCTAAACCATCTGATGTGGAACAATGAAAGTAAAATACGAAATTCAAAGTATTCCTGTTGATTAACTGGATAATACAGTGTTTTACAATGTATCAAGTATAATCATTAGATATTTGTTATCAATAATAATAATAACTGAAGAGTGTTTGTTTATCACTGCAATCATTAGATACCCATCAAGAGAAATTATGCACTGTTCTTCTGATTAAATAGCGTCATCTTGTAACACAGTGTTGTATTATTAATCAATAGGCATTATTAGACACTTATCCGTAAGAACTGTAAGCGCAAAAGTAGTAAAGAATCACCATCTATTATACAATGCAGTGATCTGAAATCAGTAGATACTTAACAATAACAAGAGTATGCAGTGGTTGAGTACGTTATATTAAAATGATTTTGGAATATTGCCACATTATTACAGTCGATGTCGCCACATCGGTCGTGCTCTGTCTGATGACTGGGAATCTTTACAATGACCCTACAGCGTAGTTTCCACTGCAAAAGGTACCTCTCATAAACTGTCATGTCCAAAGCACACAACTTCTTCCAGCTACTTTCCATAAACTACTCACTATGCGATAATGGCAGTTTCCAATCGCCAGTTTGAAAGTCAGGCCTCACAGAGATATATAAGCGCAGTGTCTGATGACTTGACCGGTATGTCTCTGCAGGAATAGCATAGCTACTTGTTTCATTCTCCAGCTGCTTGAGGTGTAGATGGTTGAACGTAAATATGGTTGAAGCAGCTTGTGTGGCGTTTTATCAGGCAGAGATCCTTCATGATTACGGGTCAAGTGGATGGCTTTTGTCGCTTACCTTTGTGTTCATGGATTATCACCTGTTACAAGACGCCGCACTTTGCTTACCGTGGCTGGGGAATGATTTGTTTCAGGTCTCTTTCTGGCTGTAGTTGTCACATTACATGCTGATTTGCATATTCAATATCGCTTTAATTTAACGTTTTCAACTCTCTTTAGTGTTTTACTGTTGGTATGCAGGCATCATTAGAAACATATCAAATAAGAACAATACATATTTTTCATCAACTGCTATCACTCGATACTTATCAATAACAATTATATGATGTTTTTAAACATCGAATATCCTCATTACACATTATGCAATAGTGTTTTGATGTTGGTCAGCTGGAACCTTTACATATTTATAAATAACTTCAGTACAGCGTCCACCTGTTGATCATCTAGCATCAACAGATACTTCTAACATCAGTGATTAATTGGGATCAGTGGGCAGTGGGAAATGGCAGCAAGATTTTAAGAGGAACTAAGCAAGGGATAAATCAGCTAACAGTGACATTCAGGAAGTTAGAAACAGTATTATAAGATCTAAAAGTAGTGGATTTAATTGTAATGAACATGTTCTATTGAGCGACAGATTTCAGCCCTTGACTTGTGCAGATGAAGAAATATTGGAGGGAAGGAAAATAAAAGGGACAGAGAAAAATATGAATTACAAACTTAAGGAGGTCATAGGTATAGGGGATTATTTGACAAGGCATGTGGACAGGATAGTCTGTGGGGTAAATAGGGAGAAAAGAATTAGTTTATGCTACCCAGGGGGCACAGATGGAGGATATACCTGACAGATCAAGAGATATAATAACGTTTATTGACTTACGCAGTGTTTTGTCTCAAAGAATTTTGCTGACATAAAGAAAAAGACCTGCCTGTCGTGTCACTGAATAAGATATATCAGCTTTTGCCACATTTAGATTTTACAAAAGTAAGATCTGAACTGGAACATTTTGCAAGTGTGTATCCAAAGCTAAATCAAAGTTTAGAAGACCAAGACACTGCTTTGAAAGAGGTGTTGGTTGAAGGAGGTGGCACCGTTGATTCATCTGAGACTGACCACACAGTAGAAAACGAGGACGTACTTCGGGCAAAGCCCCCAGTGGCACAGCGGTATGTCTACGGACTTACAACGCTAGAAACCGGGTTTCGATACCCGTGGTGGGCAGAGCACAGACAGCCCATTGTGTAGCTTTGTGCTTAATTACAAACAAACAAACAAACTTCGTGGAAAACTTTCCCAAGGTACAGATTGTGCTTAAAGTGTGTTTTTCAGTTATTGAGAACTACATTATACATTTAAAAGCATATGGCAACTTACATAAAGTGTATCACTTTCTTCTGACACTTTTTATCACTCATGTTCACTGTGAGAGATGTTTTTCGAAACTAAAGATAATAAAAACAAGACTAAAAAGCCTATTAACAAGCTGAGGATCTCGAAGCCCTCATGTTCATAAGAACAAAAACAAGCATTCTAGCTAAGATACCAAACAGTCAAATCATAGACATGCTATCAAAATCATCTTGTGTATTGAATTCAGATGTTGTTAATGCGCATAAACATTGGACATTTGCATGTATTATTTCAGGTATGTGTTATGCACATACACTGAGTGGTCACAAGTAAATAGACACCTAATTTTTCGTCATTTAACTGATTTATGCTAACTACTTTGTATTCACAGAGCACTATATAAATGAAAATGGTCCG